ACAACCTTTCATTATAGATTACTATTTGAGTCTCACATTTGTTTTTAAAATTTGATATATATAATAAAGAAGACAACTTTTTGAAGGATATGTAATTCAATTTATATTACATTTGAGGAGCAATTTTTTACTATTTACTATTTAATTATATTTTATAACATTTTGTTTTAATTGTTTTAATGTAAGGGTAAAATGGTAATTCAACTTTGAGTTTTGAACTCTCTAGTATCATACTGCTAATATTTTTTTCCCTCCGATCAAAAACAAAAATATAACACATATAGTGAAATCCCACAAAGTGGGGTGTGGAGAGGATAGAGTGTATGCAAGACCTTACCACTACCTCGTGGAGGTAGAGAGGATGTTTCTGAAAGACTCTCGACTCAAGTGATGCAAAAGAAAGGAGTTATGACAAGGAAAAACGGCTTTAAAGAAAACATGACAATATACATGAAAAGAATATAGTAACATCAAGAAAATAGTGCAATCACCTAAGCATAATATACCTGCAAAGAATAGTAAATCTGGGTGTGAACACTTCAACAAGATGCATATATATGTTGAGGTTTCGATGAAACAAAAGCAACTGATGAATTAGTTAAACTCATGCTTTAGCATTGTTGTCTTGTCTTAGTTTTAGGCTACATTCCATATCTTAAAAAGGGTATAGATTACACAGTGAAAAGGTTTACTTCGAAAGTGCTTTAGCTGGATTTGAACCCTGGTTTCGGGGGTGACTTCCATTAGCAACCTAGCGTTCCACTCAGAAAGATTTTACATCATTTTGTTGAGGTGTGACCATCTCATCTAAAAGTTTAAGCTGTTTGAGAGAGTACACTTGTATTAGTTAATAATATTCTCAGCAAGTCCCCCTCATGTGCGGGCATGATTCTTTTTCATGGACCAAGAACTTTTATTAGTTAATGATAGTCTCAACACATTCGCCAAAATATTTTACTTCATCAACCTCCTAAATGAGCAAGAGAAATCCTATATAAATGAAATGACGAACATTTATATCTCTTCTACTATCCTACTCTCGTTGTTGGTTATTCAGGATGTTTTTCTGATAGTTTGGGTTGAGGATTGATCATTTGATCTGGTATAGAATTTGTTGTGTTTGCCATTACATCTCATGCACATGGATATTGAGGAAGACGGAGGATAAATCCTGATAGGATCACCTTGAATATACATGGTAATAGGGTTTATTCGTCTACCTCTAATCTCGACTATTAACAAACATTCTCATTAAATATGTGTCATTCTTTTTGATTAATTAGAACAAGTTAAATATAGTAAGGTACCAGTTTAAGAAAAAATCACCACTTTCATGGATCAAATATTAAAGGAGCACAAAATCATACAGATCCGATGGAACATCGATAAATTGTACAAAAATACAATAGGGCTGATTAATTTCATAACTAATATTGTCATACTAAGGTATAATACATAAAAAGAAACCCCTCATAAATTTGGCTCCGTTTGTAACTCACACACCAATACTGTAGGGCACCAACATAGAACTACTCTTGCATAGTTGCGATTCTGATTCAGTTATACCTGCATTAATGTTACAACCTTATTCATTAATAAAGATATATATAAATAACTAAACAAATGTTTGTTATGAGACAATTACCACTCAAACTCCAAGTTAATTTGACGAGCGCCTTCTCTTGTAATTGTAGAAAGGTTGGGTAAGGCTACAAACAATATGCACTGTTGTTCCCGTCTTTCCCCAGATACTGCGCAGAGCGGGCGCTTACCGTACCGAGCTTCCCTTTCTTGACTTGTAATTGTAGAAATGTTGGGTAAGTCTACTGATAGCCCCTTCTGGCTTGACCCTTCCCCTGACCCCGCACATAGTGTGGGCTTGTCACATCGGGCTTCCCTTTCTTGTCTTGTAATTGTAGAAATGTTGGGTAAGTCTATTGATAGCCCCTTCTGGCTCGACCCTTTCCCTAACCCTGCACATAGTGTGGGCTTATCACACCGGGATTCCCTTTCTTGTCTTGCAAATGCAGTTGATCCGAGGACTGTAAAGCTTTTCAATGCACTATACCAAGACATGTACTCACTACGTTTGTAACGTTTGGTACCGTCTCTGTTCCAACCTTCCAGCTCATTCATTAGGACCTACAAATTCATAACATAAGTGTAGATAAAGAGAAATGAAGATGAGAAATTATTTACTCTCATTATAATGAATACCTGTATAAAGTCATGTTTTCGGGCATCTGAATTATTCACTGTTACCACCAAGGTCCGCGGATGGAAGTAACCAAACAATTCAGCAAGAAATGATTCATATCTCGGTTTCAATGAAGATTGTATCACCAAATTTATGCGCTTGATACAAAGTGGTTGAAGGTTGCTTTGAAATGTTACCTCTTCCTTCATAGACAACGAAAAATAATATTCAACACGAAATGACTTGTCAAACATGAAAGGAAATCGAATGGGAAAATAATTTGCTCTCAAATTATTGGAAAATACTAAAGATGTAAGTACATACGTTTGCTCCAGTTGTGTCAGTTTCCAAGGACAGCGTGATAGTTTCACCCAAATTTTCAGCAAAAGTTCTCAACTCAAGCAAGCTATTGGTTGCACGAGCACCCATCTCAACTTTCATTAGCCTTGATCCCACTACGGGACACGGAGTTTGGAATTTAAAGCTATGTATTACGTTGAACAATTGTAAATTAGGAGTAGCTATGAATGCTTCATCCAAATCGATGAGGTTATTCAATGTCAAACTCTCCAATAGAGGACTCACACTTTTGATTTTTTTCAATCCTCTACATAATTGAAGATATAAGGATTTTAGAGACGGGAATGTTGAGCAAACATCATGAGGAAATGAGTCGGGAACATATGTAGAATCTATATGTAGGAGTTGTAGTTTAGTAGAAGCGAACAGATCAATTTTGGTGAAGGCTGAACTACACAAGTGAAACTCGAGGAGATTTTGAGCTTTTACTTCAAGTTTTTTAATTTTTTTGCGAGTATTGACATGAAGCTTTTCGAGATAATTGAGATGGGGGACTGTGAAGTCAATAAGGTTGTCACAATTTATCAAAGTTAACTCAACAAGGTAAGGACATTTGGGTATAAAATTGGAGAAGGTACGCGAAAAAATGCAAACAGAATGAAAATATAACTCTTTCAATGAAGGCATTACATTAAATTCTCGAATAATATTCATGTTGCAATTTCCTTTTATATGGAGAACAGTTAAAAATCTGGAATCTAAAATTTCGGGAGACGCACAATACCTAAAATTAGATGGTATGAACAAATAGAGCTCCTTGAAATTGATGTTGTCTGCAGCAAGTTTAATAAATGGATCGACATGGTAGAGTTCTGTGTCGAAGCATACACAGGATGCGTGAGGGTACAAATGAGAGTAGCCGCAGTATCCACAAGTTATGTTTTCAGAATGTATTTGCATTAAATTGAGATTGTCGTCCAACGATTCTATTATTTGACGCCATTTTTTGGAAACAAGAGAAACAGTTGGTCTTTGTTTCAGAGTTACACAAGACAGGATTTTCTGGATGATGTCCTCTGGAAACTCTGAAAATATTTTATCAGAATCAGAAAGAGTATTGGCGGCCATTACAAACAATACATAAATATATAATTAGTTAGTATATACATTTAGTATTGTTATTTTATTATTTTGAATAGACATAACGGCTGTGTTTGTAGAGAATAGCATAAAAAGGTATAATCAGGAACCTTCTACTAACTCAAGATCGTTAACAAAGATCGGAAGACTCAACTAAAGAAGAGGAAGCTAGAATGGAGAAAGAGTATTTTTGGATAAAAAAAAATTATTGTAGAAGAAGACTATTTGATTTGAGTTGTGCTTGGGTTGTTTACAAATGACTAAGGTCACCCCTATTTATAATTACGTAGGGATGATTCTAGTTACTGAGGATCCAGACTCTTCTAATCTTTTCTACAAATACCTCTCTTAAATATCTAATACTCTAGACTGTCTACAGTTTTCTTAAGTACAAATATAAAAAATATTTACTCTACAAAATTCTAGAGAATTCTACTAAATATCTAAGATATTTTTTGTACCTCCAAAAAATCAACTTTAATTTTTCAAAAGCGTTGTATTATTTATACTTATGTAGGGATGATTCTAGATACTGAGGATCCAGACTCTTCTAATCTTTTCTACAAATATCTCTCTTAAATATATAATACTCTAGACTTTCTAGAGTTTTCTTTCTAGAGAATTCTACTAAATATCTAAGATATTTTTTGTACCTCCAAAAAATCAACTTTAATTTTTCAAAAGCGTTGTATTATTTATACTTATGTAGGGATGATTCTAGATACTGAGGATCCAGACTCTTCTAATCTTTTCTTCAAATATCTCTCTTAAATATATAATACCCTAAACTTTCTAAGTTTTCTTAAGTACAAATATCAAAGATATTTAGTCTACAGAATTCTAGAGAGTTCTACTAAATATCTAAGATATTTTTTGTACCTCCAAAAAATCAACTTTAATTTTTCAAAAGCGTTGTATTATTTATGCTTATGTAGGATTGATTCTAGATACTGAGGATCCAGACTCTTCTAATCTTTTCTTCAAATATCTCTCTTAAATATATAATACTCTAGACTGTCTAGAGTTTTCTTAAGTACAAATATCAAAGATATTTACTCTACAGAATTCTAGAGAGTTCTACTAAATATCTAAGATATTTTCTGTACCTCCAAAAAATCAACTTTAATTTTTCAGAAGTGTTGTATTATTTACCAAGGAGGAGGGTTTGACCATACCTCTTAAATACTACAGCCTTATTCCTAGCTGTACAAACCAAATTTATAATAAAATCCAAATTCACAAAATTTCAATACTAAATGCCTTTTTTCTTTTTGAGTTCTCAACAATGGGAGCTCTTTCACCAGGTTATGCATGGACCCTTCAAGACTATAACGAATGTATGTTCAACATCGTGAACATTGTGAAAGTGACATTGGGATGGAGACAAATGGGATGACACCTGGGCGAGATTTTCAGCCAGACATTGCCTCCGGTGTCTTACTGAATTTATCTCCATCTTCAATATCACTTTCTCGATGTTCATGATGTCCACTAGATTGCCTATCAATACCTCTGACACAGATCTCTATCATGTCGATCCATTTAGTAAACTTGCTGCATACAACATCAGTTTCAAAGAGCTCTATTGTTCGTAGCGTTACCCAACCTTTCTACAATTACAAGACAAGGCGCTCATCAAATTAACTTGGAGTTTGAGTGGTTATTGTCTCATAACGAACATTTGTTTTTGTTATTTGTATATAGCGGAATTAATGAATAAGGTTGTAACTTTAATGCAGGTATAACTGAATCAGAATTGCAACTATGCAAGACTAGTTCTATGTTGGTGGAACACATGATTGAGTGTGCAAGTTACAAACGGAGCCAAATTTAGGAGGGTTATGAAATTAATCAGCCCTATTGTATTTTTGTACAATTTTACAAACAATTTTGTCCTCCTTGAATAATTGAGACATGAAATTGCTGATTCTTGCTTAAACTGGTATCTTACTATATATGTCATAATATGTATACTTCATTAATGGTATGCTAGTGAATGGTGAACCAAAATCTAAGTGATGGATTTTTACTTCCGGTTTTGATTGAAAGAGAGCATATATACTACTTAGAATGTATACGTCCATTAATAGTCACTGGATGAGGTCTCTTGACAGAATAAAAGTGCGAAAAGTAAATAACTCAAAGTAAAACATACAAGAGAGTTTCACGTGAAAACCCCTTGTTCAAGGGAGGAGAAAACCTCGACCTATCTCATAGGGTTTCAAGTACTCAACTCCATTTCACTCAAAACGGAGCAAGACTTCAGATTACAAATCTCTAGTAATCTAGAAATCAAACTCTTAATCCCTTCCCCCTTACTGTAGCAACTCTACTACAAGCAAAAGAACTAAGCAATAACTCTATTGTCTACTAAACCAACTAACTCTAGTCGATTTGTCAAAACATCATCATGTTGTGGGATAAATTATGATTGTGCACTGAAAACATCTAGTTAGACCATGCCTGAAATTCTTCATTGAAGCTAATTATTTGAAATATCCAACTCGAAAGACAGATTTGTGTTGGAAAACTTTAAAGAATTCATCCAAAATCACAAGTAAATCATTAGACATAGACATCAATATTAGAAGAATGGTAATTGGTAGGAACACTAACCTTGTTTCATTGCAATAACTTGATTGAAGTAGGCAACAACTCTATTAATGAAATTGATCTTCTTTTTCTGAGATGGAGAGAAAGAGAAAAAGTATATCTTCTGGTTTAGGGACCAAATCCTTCTAAAGGATTCTGAAGTATTTTTTCATTTGAAAAGGTATTTCAGGTTTGAATGGTACCTTTTCAATAAGTCTCAATCAGATTTAAGAAAAGGTCCATGAATATCAAGCTATCTAAAACAAACTCATATTGATAGATATTTATTTTTTAAGGCCCCAAACTTTAATACATACAATGGGCTACTTCAATGATAGCATATCTACGTATAGTATATTAATATGTGAGTCCACAAAATAGAAATTACTAACAATTTGGACTAGATACAGACTTTAATTTGTGCAAGAACTTATAGAACAGCTTCCTAGTCGATTGGATTTCTGTCAATATAGAGGCTGATGCAATGACATCGATTCATATTATATTTCTTTGTGAATATGGCACAATATGATTCCTTTCTTGATTTGAGGAATCTAAATAACTACTTTTGTTGCTTATTTTTGCCTTGTTTTCATCTTGTAATCTAAGTATTCTGTATTCCATCGCAATACGTGTTGATACTATGACATGTTCTCCCAAAATCTTTAACTGACATATAATAACACTGTATCAAAAATAATCTTTAGCGGTAATTAATTAATGGAATTTTACCCTAAAGCCTATAGTGATTCTGGATCTAATGGCAATTAACTAATGCTGGTAAAGGTTTTATCACTCTTTGTTAATGTGTATATTTCTTGCCACTAAAAATTATTTTTGTTGTAGTGTAAGATTAAGACTCATAATTTGAACTTCTCAGAATCTCAAGATGTCATTAATTTTAAATGTGCAAATGAACTTCCATTTTGTGAGGCAAAAATCTAACCTAACTTTTCAAATGTTTATGGAAGTAGTAGTTGATTAATTAAATATCTACCATTTCATGTGCGTTGCTATTATACGTACTTTCCCAATCCAGACTAATATTATTAATTATTAATAAAAATATGTAAATAAATATTTATTTTTTTTTAATAGACTTAACGGTTATAACCTTCCTAAACTGTTGTGTTGTTTGATGAAAGACACAACTCCTCCATAAAAATGATAGATTTTCCAAATCTGTTTTCCTCTCTATATATAAATAAATGATGTTAGAAATGAGTTTGAAACCCTACATTTTTTGTAATGGCCGCCAATACTTTTTCTGATTCCGATCAAATATTTTCGAAGTTACCAGAAGAAATCATCGAGATAATCCTGTCTTGTGTAACTCTGAAACAGAGACCAACTGTTTCTCTTGTTTCCAAAAAATGGCGTCAAATAATAAAATCATTCAAAGACGATCTCAATTTAGTCCAAACATATTCTGCAAAGATAGCCTGTGGATACTGTGGCTCCTCTCAATTGTACCGTCACGCGTCCTGTTTATGCTCCGACACTAATCGCTACCATGTCGATCCATTTATTAAACTTGCTGCAGACAACATGAGTTTCAAAGAGCTTTATTTGTTCATACCACCTAACTTTAGGTATTGTGCGTCTCCCGGAATTATAGATTCCAGATTCTTAACCGTTCTCCATATAAAAGGAAATTGCAACATGAATATTATTCGAAAATTTAATGTAATGCCTTCATTGAAAGAGTTGTATTTTCATTCTGTTTGCATTTTTTCGCGTACCTTCTCCAATTTTATACCCAAATGTCCTCTCCTTGTTCTGTTAACTTTGATAAATTGTGACAGCCTTAATGAATTCACAGTCCCCCATCTCAATTATCTCGAAAAGATTCATGTCAATACTCGCAAAAAAATTACAAAAATTGAAGTAAAAGCTCAAAATCTCCTCGAGTTTCACTTGTGTTGTCCAGCCTTTACCAAACTTGATCTGTCCGCTTCTACTAAACTACAACTCCTCCATATAGATTCTACATATGTTCCCGACTCATTTCCTCATGACATTTGCTCAACATTCCCATTTCTAAAATCCTTATGTCTTATATTATGTAGAGGATTGAAAAAAATCAAAATTGTGAGTCCTCAATTGGAGAGTTTGACATTGAATAACATCATTGACTTGCGCGAAGCATTCATAGCTACTCCTAATTTACAATTGTTCAACGTAATATATAGCTTTAAATTCCAAACCCCGCGTCCCATAATGGGATCAAGGCAAATGGAAGTTGAGATGGGTGCTCGTGCAACCAATAACTTGCTTGAGTTGAGAACTTTTGCTGAAAATTTGGGTGAAAATATCACGTTGTCCTTGGAAACTGACACAACTGGAGCAAAGGTATGTACTTACATCTTTAGTATTTTTCAATTCGATTTCCTTCATGTTTGACAAGTCATTTCGTGTTGAATATTATTTTTCGTTGTCTATGAAGGGAGTAACATTTCATCCAGGAAACCTTGAACCACTTTGTGTCAAGCGCATAAATTTGGTAATACAATCTTCATTTAAACCAAGATATGAATCTTTTCTTGCTGAATTTTTTGGTTACTTTCATCCGCGGATCTTGGTGGTGACAGTGAATTCAGATGCCCGAAAGCATGACTTTATACAGGTATTCTGCATTATTATAATGAGAGTAAATAATTTCTCATCTTCACTTCTCTTTCTCTACATTTATGTTATGAATTTATAGGTCCTAATGAATGAGCTGGAAGGTCGGAACAGAGACGGTACCAAACGTTACAAACGTAGTGAGTACATGTCTTGGTGCAGTGCATTGAAACGCTTTACTGTCCTCGGACCAACTGCATTTGCAAGAAAAGAAAGGGAAGCCCGGAGTGATAAGTCCACGCTATGTGAAGTGTCAGGGGAAGGGTCGAACCAGAAGGGGCTATTAGTAAACTTACCCAGCATTTGTACAATGACAAGACAAGAAAGGGAAGCCCGGTGTGATAAGCCCACACGATGTGAAGAGTCACGGGAAGGGTCGAACCAGAAAGGGCTATCAGTAAACTTACCCGACATTTCTACAATTACAAAACAAGAAAGGGAAGCCCGGAAGGGTAAGCGCCCACTCTGTGCAGGATGTGAAGAAGGACAGGAACAACCGTGCATATTGTTCATAGCGTTACCCAACCTTTCTACAATAACAAGAGAAGGCGCTCATCGAATTAACTTGGAGTTTGAGTGGTAATTGTCTCATAACAAACATTTGTTTTTGTTATTTGTACATAGCTGAATTAATGAATAAGGTTGTAACTTTAATGCAGGTATAACTGAATCAGAGTTGCAACTATGCAAGAGTAGTTATATGTTGGTTGGAACACAGTATTGGTGTGCAACTTACAAACGGAGCCAAATTTTGGAGACTTTTTTTTTTTAATGTACAGTATTACAATATTAGTTATGAATTTATCAGCCCTATTGTATTTTTGTACAATTTTTAGATGTTTCATCGGATCTATATGGTTTAATCCTCCTTGAATATTTGATATATGAAATTGGTGATTCTTGCATCTTACTATATATGTCATAATATGGTATATGGGAAATGATTTATGCTCTTGATTTCATAAAAAGACAATTTCTTTTTTCGAGCACAAATTTCAACAGAAGGTATACAAGATTGATATTCTTCGTCTGCGAAATATAAAGACATGTTTTCGTCAGGGGGAGTAAATATGGGTGTGTTTGGTATGAAGGAAAATGTTTCCTGGAAAATAAGTTGATTTTTGACTTATTTTCTCATATTTGGTTGGTGAGTAGAAAATATTTTCCGGAAAAAAATTTTAATGTTTGATTTATGAATGAAAAATATTTTTGAAAAATATCGTTTATTTTTACTAGAGTAGAAAATAATTTTTGAA